ACTTTGTTCGTCAGACCTCTAACCATTGATCAACTTGGTGTGAGAGACTCTGTGAGTGTCGCGGGACACTCTCCAGTATAGCTCAGTGGATCGCTGAGGTGCGCAAACCGTCACACCACGGTAAGGTCCAGTCACTTCGTGACGGAGGTATCGGTGAAAGTCACCTTCAACCCCCTCCCCCTGAATGCTGCAGTTGACTAGGATAAGGGTTGATTTTATGAACCAGTTACAGGTCTCCCGGAGTTGACTGCTCGTCATCCGTGCGGTCGACCTGCACGATGTGGGGAAAATTTGACGGAGTATTTTCGGTTCTCATACTTAACGCGATTCGCGTATTACTGAAACAACGGATCGGTCATATTGGATTGGCTTAAATCTGACGAGTGAATGTGGAGGAAACAAATTCAGTTGGAACTGTGTTGTCAAACCTTTTATTCGTGTTTTAGAGACAGTATGCGTCATCATTCAGTAGGTAGCGTATAGTTAAGAGGGGGCGGCTTGGTGACGGGTCTGAAGTTGAATGCAGAAATGAGACAATGCTAAGTTGGGAAGATTCTTTTGAGTGAGAAGCGCTTTTTTAGTTTATGGTTTTTTTAGTTAGACTGTCAGTGTTGAAACCAATGTAGAACATGTTGATAAGAGATAATTTGAGTTTTGCTCCTACGCTGTGTGGGCGGACTCCACTACTCGTTGCCTGGACCATATAACAGAGTTGTTTCATAACCTCGAGGCCCCAATCCACAAGATGATAGGGTTTTATGATGGACATTGTTCGTGGTACTTGGATCAACCATTTGGCCCTTAAGAGAAAGACTGTTAATGTTTTCTTGAATGACTCCCAGGACCAATGATACAATTTTGGCGTAACCGCCAGTAGGCAGTGGATGGAGCTAACCGCAGGGCGTGGGGAGTGTGGCCCGTGGGGGGGGGGTTAGTCTTGATGCTACTGCGTATAACGCCTTTTAAACAGTACCGTGAGTGTTTCGACCTTATTGAATAGTGCACCACCAGTGACGGTTATCAGGAGAGAGTAGCATTGTTGTTTTCATGGTATGGGGGTAAGTTTCTTAGTTCGCTCACACTTCTATCTCAGAAAAGCAGAATCAAACTACCCCAGTTATACGATTTTTCGCGCTGTGGATAGAGACTTTTAACCTTCTTACCGTGTTGCGTCGTAAGGAACTGAGCTTCAGCCAGTGTGTTCCATAGGACCACTGCAACAAGACAATATGGTGTGGAAAGGGTAGTGTTTCTTCGGGTAAGCCTACAAGTTGATTATCATAATCGATGAACAGATTCAAACTGTCGCGTGAACAACAAAGAATTAACACACCCAGGCTACCACTATTTCGAAACCTTGTCAAGTCTATTTTCATAAAGGAAGCTACTCACAAGGTTGCTGAAAACTCTCCGACAGCCCACGACCGGTTTCGCCCTTCTTGGGGCTCATCAGGTAGGCGCAGTCTCTGAGTTTCCATCAACCTTTTGATCTACTTGTTAAGGGTAATTTGCGCTTAGCTCTACTTAGAAACTTTGCCATTCCTGTGAGCGATGGAGTTAATCGATATAGATGCATAGGGAGCATTTCCTCATGTGTTAATTTTAGGGTCATCCGAAAGTCTGGATATAGTATGTCATTTTCCGAGGTAGTCAATTTAATATGGACGTCACTTCACATCAATTTTTGGGACCCCAATCGATGTGCTTCTCCTTCGGAGCGTATAACTTTCGTATTCCCGAAGTGTTTGTTCGCCGGGAGACTACTATACGTAGCCTTGCTCGCAATATGGTGTTGGCCTGGCTAAAGCGCTAAACTTTTTTTTGACTGTAGACGATCGGAATTCACTTCTCGTCACGAGGAATTCCGGCAATTTTTTATTGGTCATTGATACAGGTGCAGTTTTTTCGACATTTGTGCATTTATTTCCCCTCTCTTTCCAAAATATAGCATTTTCCTGGATTGGTTATCGCTTCACGACCCTTTGGATCACCATGCGGTGAAACCGTGTAACTCCGCCCGGCTTGCTGAAATGGGGATCACAAATGTAGGTGATGAATATTTTAGTTCTCATCCTGAAAGAAACTAATGTATGCTTAATGGTGCCTGGGTTTGTTAACGGTTAACCTTTCGGGGCTACCGCAGATCATAAGCAGTTGTTTTTTGAATGAAATTTGTGTGTGTGTGTGTGTGTGTGTGTGTGTGTAAGTTTTACCAGTGGCATTCTGCGAATGCGACCAGGCCATGTGGTGGCTAACTATGGTAAGTCCGCTTTTGGTGTACCTGTTGTGCGATGCGGTCTACCAGTTCACACGTCACCTAAACTCGGATTTCATAGTATGTATCTCACCACCTGACTTGAAAAGTATTGCTCATCGGTTGTACGTGCTGATAGCTCAGAACGATACCTCTTCTGTCTAAACACCGGTCGTACACTATGGAGCTTACATCTTTGTGACCCGGGTGTATCACTCAGTGCAAAACACACTATACATCAGTTGGGTAGACAAGTTCTGAGACTGACGCCAACAGGGGGTGTGTGTAAGTGCGGAAAACTAACACAGAGACCGTGGGGACACAAATTTCGCATATAACCCAATATATGTACTTGTCCACCTTTCCTTGCCATTCTAGCACGACTCTTATCGTCACTTTCGTGCAAACCGTCTCTCAATGCGAATTACCTGCTCAGTTCATCCGCCCACCTCGCCCGCTAGCAAACCTTGGTGTTTGTTCTACACGAGCATCTTGAAGTTTGCTGACAGGCTTCGAGTAAGTTTCCTCTCGGATCGAACTTTACATTCGTCGTTTATAACTCACCCGCGCTCACTCTGATCGTTTTTCGGTTTCTTCCGTCCACAGATGTGTTTAACCAAGGTTGCGCGCCCAATTCGCCGTGGATCAGTGTTTGGCTATCAGCCTTTGCGAAAGCCTCTGTTTGGTCGACTCTTGCAGTAAGTTCATTCATCTTTGAACTTAATTATCTATAGTTGCCTGTACGTCTGAAGCTCCCGTTATTCTGTACCACTGGCTGTGGATCAGAACGTCTCAGCAGGCAGATACTTTGGTCATATGTGATATTATTCACCTCGTGCAATTCAAGTATTACCGGTGAAAGGAAGAAGGCCTTCACTGAGGAGGTATTTATTGGAAAACACCTACTGAACAGTTAAAGACTATTGGACAGGGGAGCAAAACTCTCATATGCATCTTGTTTATAAAAACTGTGTAACCGTTTCCTTCTTGAACAGGTCTTCCTGAACTTCCCTGGATACTCATTGACTATTACTCAAACGTAAACGAATGCTACAAAGCGATTCCTCAAATTCCGTAATAAATCTCTTTTCAATAGACGCGAAGCGGAGAAAACCACACACTACTCGCGTGTTTCATCAGTAGTATCCAACGTTTCACCGGTAGTCTTGGTTAACTACTGGATAAGTACTGTTACTAGTGAGCATGAGTAGTACTCAACTCTAACATCTCCCGTTTGACTTGAACCCGCCAAACCGATTTACGGTGTAAGATGGGTTAAAGCATCCTCAGTGTTTCTGTAGTGAACCTCATTAAATGTTGACACCGCCAGTATTTCTGCCATAGCAACTATGGATGTTCCTCATAATCATAGTTTGAATGGGATCTGGCATACTGGTCTATTCGAGACTATTAAGTCAGTCAAATTCATATCACTAGTAAACTGCTGTTGTATTCTCGAGCATGCAATAGGAACATTTTCTCCATTGGTAGCTACTTCGTTCTAGTCTTTACGCGTACATTTCAGGTCTAAACTAGGATCAGTTATAAAGACTTCGTAAACACAGCCCGGGTTGGTAGCTTGTGATTCCGTGAAAATTCTCTTCCCAAACCAAGCTACTTCTGTCCTCTTTGGTTCGCAACAGGCTGATGGAATTCACCTTCAACTTGCCCCATTTGGAGGTCGCTTACTGGGTTTCCTACGCTAATCGCACTGGTGTCCATCTCACCACCGGTCCTGTTCATCTAAGTTCCGAGACGCGGTTCATTGTGGAAGGGGAGACCAAAGTGCCCCTGATCCGTGGTACTTCTTCGGGCGCGATGGTCCAACCGTTCGTCATGTTCGCACCCATGCGACCAATTCAACATTCCGGTCTGATTCGGCGTCCCATGGCCAGCTGGTCCGTGATACGACTGTCGGCGAGTGTGCATGATAGTCGAATTCGATTAAGGCACAACCCAAACCTACCTGGACAGGTGGTGCAGTTGCTTCTGAAAAGTGCGAAACCTATTCGTGTGAGTTGTTAATGAAGAACATTTTAATTTTGCCTTCTTTGGGCTCCTAACCGATGAGGTCACACAGGGCGAGATGGCCCAAATGGTTAGAGCGCGAATTTACTGACCGGAAGGTCCGTGGTTCGAACCCGACCTCTGCCACTCGACTTCCCCTGTCTAGGCTTGGGCCACCTGGCAGTATCCCAGCCCTCGTGCTTCCCTCGTGTGGCATGGCAGCTAGGCACCGGAAGGGTGCTACAGCTGAACGCTATCATCATTACTGACGCAATGCACTGGTAAAACGCATTGGTGTTCACATGCTTAATTAACGTACCGTTTATTCGTGGCACCGACCTCAAACCTTACGTTAATACACAGCTGGGTTCCAAGCAATGCTTTCTCATTCCAGGAACTCATTCTCAACGGTTGTGTTTCGTATACGAACATCCATACGTTCTAAACTGCTTCGACAGTGCGTCGTTCGGGTACTCTGTGGTATTGGCTTCTGGTCAAACGGCACACGATCCCTTGCACTGTCTGTACAGCCTCTTCAATCAAGCACAGTTGAGTGCGCAGTCGATCAAAAGACCATTATACCTATCACTGGCCTTGATGTTCTTATTTGGTGGAATGCTACGGTGATTGGTCCCCATAGTGTGAAGTTACTCTCTTGTGAAGTCTAGACTGTCTTCGGTCAAATTAGAGAGCATCCAGTTTCAACGCGAGTCCACTTTTCATCAGAAGACCTCCAGTTACCAAATTTTTAATATCATACCTTTGTGCATTTCAATTACTAGGCTTCTTGGAAATCCTTCAGCCTAGGTACTGAATCTTTCTGATGTAGTTTTATTCCCGTTTTTATAATCGGACGGATTCTCGTTGCAAATTTAGATGATGTATCGGCTACCGAACTGTGTACCTGTCGATTTATTCCACTGGCACTATGTTGAATTTGCAGCTCGGGTCGTTATTAACCGCACCAGGGCTCAAATCCCCACCCCCACTTTTAGGTAGATCCTTTACTCAACCAGACGGGTCTTGCCACATCACTGGAGACTGAAACGGACCAGACGGCTGCAGATACGGCTGAGGACTTTCTCATGGTACCTTTATTGCACTATGATCAGGTCGGATCGACTTCACCGCCTCCACCGGAGCAGTCAGTTCGAGTGCACATTCCAGGTCGGCGGGCAACCAGCACAAACGTCGGGAACCTCGACGATCCTGGGGACTTGCTCCAGTCATCACCGAATTCCACTGCAGCCCCGTCGAACGCACCCTCTGAAGCTGAGTACTCAACACAGAATGTAGGGGAGAAACTTACGCACGAAAATGTATGTCAGGTGTACGGACTAATCCGATCTTTGTATGGTCTACTGATTATGAATGTGGCTTTCCTTGGAACCTAATGCATTCAAGGTTGATTGACTTTGTGCACTCAATTAATGTCGCATTACCAACTGCGTTTATATGCAATATGAATCGAATGACAATGGTGGATTCGATGATATACTTGTCTGGGATATCAAAGGTTTATTTTCATTCATCTAGTTGGTCATATTTCGTGCTCCCTTGCTAGACACTCCCTCATAAGCAAGAATACTTTTGAAGTTGACAAACGTCTGTTTTTCAATAGCTACATATTATGATTATATATTAAAAATGAGACGAGAACTCACTAAATCTCATCAAAGTGTCCAGCAGAATATATACTCACTTAGCTGTCATAGACTCGTTCTGTTCGGGCTACTAGGCCCATTGGGCTGGAGTGCTCTGACCAGCCTTGTCTGTTTGCATACGCCGGTTGCGCTCATTGTGATGTTAGTTGACTTAGCTATTTCCGGTATAAATGTCCGTACAGTTTTGGAGGCAACTGCCTGGCTCATGTCTACCAGATAGGTGACCATGGCGCTTCTGAATGATCCCGTACCAATTCAAGATAGTTGAACGGGTGTTGTTCACAGATACGGACGAAGGTTGACGGATCATTCAAGGATGCGTCACCAACGTACCTAAAGAAATAGGTTATCATGCATGAGATCAACACCAGCAGCTCATCTTAATTATTCAAACAGGTGACGGGGTGGCTTTTGAACGAACAAAACAACTCAATTCAACGCTACGCTCAGTTTAGTTTTGCCGTTGCCGGTTGAAAGGACTATAGACTATCTGTATAAATTTAACTGCAACGACTGTACTAAGGTTTACCTAGGATATAGTTCCAGGTAACTGCACACCGGAATTGGCAGACATAAAAGGAGGATAAGCAAACCACCAATCGCTGGTCAAGGACTCAGCGATTCGTTAGACACAGAACATAGAATAGATCTGGAGAACGGGGAAGTTTTCAAGACGGCGACTGCTACCACAACAGCTGATTGCCGCGGAGGTGGAATTTACTAGGCATTACAACTTGAATAGAATCGAGGGTGTGCAGCTGGCGAGCATATGGAAAGCGGTCTTAGATAAGCCGAGTTGACACGTGACTGTGTGTTGTCAATACTGTCAAAAAAACGTAAAAAATTAGCAAAAACGGGGGGGGATTGAAATCCGAACCCAATCGGTCACAGAATCCCCTTTCCTTATCCAACTGGGGGAGATGGTGCAGTGTTAGAGCGCGAATTTACTGACCGCTCCTTACACAACTATCGTAGCACTAGCTCATCCACACAGACGGACGAAAAGTGCAGACAATGTTGAAGAGGGATCATCACGTGAACCCACCCGGAAGTACTAGACTCTAGGCTGGACCTAAATTCACATAGGTCTTAACACTTGATGACCCACCCTAACGCAAATTTAATTTGACTTAGCTGATTGGTTCTCCTTTTGCCTTAAATCTCGACCGACCTTGTAACCTAGTCACTAGACCTGACGAAGCTTTCGTGTCAACAGCGAGACGTAGCTCAGCATTAAATCGATCGATGGTCACCGATCTTTTCTGAAAGCATTGGACGTGCCCCTTTTATGGTTTTAATTTCCCTCATATACTTCGGTAACCGAATCCCCCTTGAAAGGCAAGCTAAGAAACAGCCCTTTCTTTGCTACTGTTTAGAATATACTCATGACCATAAACCTCTGGATAGCCAGTTTCCAAAACTGTACCCCTTACTTTTGTCCACTGGATGAGCAACATATCATTTTATCAGATCTCTCGAGTTCTCGAAGCTAGACATTTAGGTAAAAATAATTGTTCAGCTTTGACAACCTTTCGGGGTTTAGCTACCATTCCAGTCGAATGAAGCGTGAGAACTGAGCTACTTTCAAGTTCCCCAAGCTCAGACAGGAACAGTCTAGATGCTGAGGTTGGGTTCGAACCACGGTCGGTAAGAACTTGACTACCAAGGTATCTCGACCTCCCACGAGATTATATTGTTGCTTCATTGGTCGCTTGCGCGACCCGGGTATTCTTCTTACATGCTGTATGTTGCACTGATCCATTTGGTAAACAACAGGCGAGCATTTTTGGAACGGAAGGTTCCCGCTTTTCTCCTTTTCTATGTTAAAGTACATTTGAGGGTGGGCACCACTGAAACGGCATGGTAACTGCCTCAATTCACCTTTCCTGTAAGGTACGCAAAACATGTCGATAATGGTGTTCCAAGCCATCGAGGGATATTTTCTGTCTGCACATATGAAGAACACCTTCGTTAGCTAGCTCAAAATGGCTCAAACGGTATCGCTCAGAAGCATCCATCTGGTAGACATGAACCACACAGTAGACACCAACAAGCCAATGAAAGTGAATATACCTTTACCCTTTCAAGGGTGTACGGGTATGCACACTTGGGCAATTACTAAGGCAACTGGTACCAGAATGAGCGTACGGAGCTTGCTGACTAGGGCACTCAAGTTTAATATGCCTAGTAGTCCGGATAGAACGCGCGGGTCCTCAGATCAAACGCTGAAGACCGCTAAGTGTGCATATGTGTTCCTAGACTATTGTATCGGATCGACTGGCATTTTCCGTTTCCCATCTTTCTGTATGCAATCGCAATATGTATTGGCCAGCTGATGAGTATTTTAAAACAATTTCCTCTTCCCAAAAGCTAGCTTCTCAATGAACTGATGGATATTTTCGAAACACTAAAAATTCGCAACTCCTTCGTTACTTTGACCACTCAATAATTCGTCTTTCGTGGTGTTTCCATTGTCTCGGCGCTCTCTTCCGGATCAATCTTCCTTTCCGTTTGACTAACGAAATTGCCAGATTTTCATATCACTTTTCTACTGAGAACTGAAACCTTATTCCCGACAACTTTTTCCAAAACAATAATCTGTCCATCTACACATGCGCTTGTGCTCCGTCAAGCGGCTGTTAGAAAACAACTTCTAACTATATTCTCGCCTCTCCAGAGGCCATCTTGTAGGGCTATTCCGCCATATCGATATTGGTGGTTATACCACAGCAATAGGACCGCACGCGATATTCTCTAATGGTAATCACTTGGTAAAACGTTCAGTGACGTCCGCTAAATAACCTCAGAATGACCTTCAACCCTATGCAACTACCCTAGGACATTTGTGTAGCTACCTGGTTAGCTTTACATTCTCAGGTCAATTGTCCTGACCAGGGTTACTGTGAATCTGTGGACAGTTTGACTTGGTATCGACTGACCTTGTTCACTCAGTTGGTTGAATTCGTTAGGAATTTGACTACAAAACATGTAACACCTCATGATTTTGGGGACCGAACAGGCGACAGAAATCACCATGAAATGGTTGTGAACTTGGATTGATTCACATGAACAAAATGTCAGTAGTCTGTGTCGTAGCGCGAGTCCAACAAAGTGTCAGACTGGGTTGGAATTTATTGGCATTTTCAATTATTTTGCTTTCATCGTGACATCAGTCCGCTGACACGAAATTCGCATGGTGCTGTGCACGTATGTGTGCGCGAAACCGGGTAAACGACGGGCTTGATATACGCACCCTCCAAGAGGGAATTCTTTCTTTCAAGGTGGATGGTCTTGATCATCCATAAAGCATGTCGTTTTGGGAGAAGGCTGTTCGAACCATCCGCCTACTCTGCTACCTGACTGGGAAGTCCTGACTGGCGGGTCAATCGATCGTCACAACCAGGGCAGTTACTGGGTTGTCGGGTACACCAATCACAACGCTCAAGTGTGAACACGTTCGCCTGTTCAGACGTGATAATTCAGATGCGTCCAACGTGCGTTGGTGGAGTAGTAGTGTAGTTACACGCTCGCCTGGCATGTCAGATGTCCGGGGTTCAAATCCCGGCACGGCCATTGGATATGCACTGCTGATGAGCTCTAATAAGAGCAAAACTCGAGTCCCAGGGCTTCCTTTGGTGTGGACTCACCCGAATACTTACGCCAGAACAGGCACACGGCCGTTCAAACGAGAGTGGTGTGGCTATGAACAAAATACCCATCCTGCAAAACCCTAAAATTGCAATCTGCTAAAATACTTCGAAGTTTGTTAGGCGGAACTCCACACGGATCCCTCTTTATCGCTCGCAGTCGGGTGCTGCTACAGCCGAGAATTCGGGAAGCTGGCCGGTCCGGCATCAAGCCGAGATCTGATTAGTCGGAAATCTGGACCCAACAACCAAACATGATCCAGTATTGTATGCCTTGTACACCTTTGGTGGTTGTTTTTGACGTGAACGCTAGTTTGTGAGGCTCAGACCGAGAACTAAGCTGATAAAATACCGTTACGACAAAGTTCGACCACTTTTGAAACTTTCTGTACAGAAGCATCAAGTGGCTTCATATAATTGGCGATTGTTGTAGGTTTTTTCATGTTATACATCTCAGCTGTCGGTTTGCTGTTTGTCTTTTCGTAGCTGACACCCACACATCGTTTGGTAGTGAATGACTTGAAACTACGTTGGACGGAACATACGCGTAATCTGGTGTACATCCTTATGGATACCTACCAGCATGCTCAATCCCTGAAGCGTAATCTCTCAGCCCGTGCCACACATGCTATCCAGCTACGTCAAGGTATTCCAGTAACCTCTTCACGTAACTGGTCAAGTAATGCTTTGAACTTGGGGTAAGTCGCTGTTGCTATAAACTAGTTTAGCGTCATTTAGATGTTTGTACCTCTAGCTTTCATTAACTTACTCTCTTTTTCATCAGCTTTCGTGGAACCACTTCCTCGGCGGCTTCTGATTTGTTTACCCAAAATTATTCGGATCAACGAGCTGATCCGACTAATATATCCTTGCACACGAACGACTCGGAGGAACTCGTTGGTGGCGTTGATGTGGTTGATACGCCACGTGACCTCCGGATGGACATAGGAACCCATGCTGGGAGCCCGATTCGCACGCATAGTCGAACTTCGAACGAAGGTAGTAGCAGAGAGGACCTATCTACAACTTCTGGCACCCGTATACAGTGGACATCGCAAAGTGAGACCAGTGTTCAGTCGAATCATACTGGTCTTTCTGGAGGTCTCGAACAAATACCCATGCTCGCACAGTTGCTGGAAGAGGTGGACACGGCTCGTTTTTACGCTTACTGTGAAGAGGTAAGTCCGGGCTTATTGATGTGTAGGAACTATCATGGTTCCATTAGGACAATCTGCATCCGTGAGCTTGGTTTCGCAACCTCGGACGAACAATTAGAAATCCAAGGTCATGAAACACTTCAACAACTTGATCAAAGTATAATCAAATCAGCAAAGATTTGTGTCGCGAACTTTTCTGGTGAAAACCGCATGTGGTTATTTAGGTGTTGAATTACTTCAAATCAGTATTTGAGTTAGACAACTGATAAGAATTTCAGAAACGTTAGCATGTGATCAGATGTGTAGCGTGTTGTATGTACACGACGGGTTCCGTATCAATCGAAGCATTTTATTTCACATCGGGGGCATCTTTTGAATTCTGTCGGTAAAACGTTTAATCGCTATGTTGTTCATGATGATTCTGAACGCTCTTGCTTTGATTTCTCTATCTTATCCTCTTGTCTTTCATCCATAGGAACCGAAACAGACTAATGTCGTGGATCAACTCCATGGATTGACTATTTGTTCCGAAAGTCTGGTAACCGCGCGGAATTGGCACGTTGAATTGCTGAATAGTCAAGTAGGTTGTTCCGTTAGTCATTCAGTCCGCGGAGCTAAGGTTACTATTTTCCGTTTGCTTAATCTGGCATTAATTATTCCACCAGCTGCTACTTAAAACTGACAATCTTGCCGGCTATATTTTGGTGACCGCGGCTCGGGCCAAACTGGACGCGCTGACACACCCACCGATTTGGAAAGACGCACAGCTTCTCAACAAGTCCAGTCTTGTAGGGCACCTTGAATGTATGCAGTATTATGCAACCGTTGGTCAGGTGAGTTCGGTGTCGTTCCGGTTATCCTATACTGATGAGCGATGGATGATGATGTTGTGTTGAGCATATGTACCCAGCACATACTTTTCTCAGGTTGATCGTGGCATTNTCTCTGGCTCCCACTCCCGGCCGTGGCGACTGGGCTCATGTGAGTGTCAACGCTGACGAGGACGAATTGTCTGGACGACCTGAGGTTGTTGGCTGTGGTCATTCTGTGGGTGGAGTCGTCACTGCACGCGTCGTCGTTGGTGGAACTCCTCGGGCCACTGCAATGGATACGGCGCCTGCTTCTGAGGCGAGAATTCATCATGCTCCGTATATCCAACTGCAACGTATGATCTCGCGCTGCTGCTGTGAAATCTTCTATGTGCATTATGAACCGGCAGACTCATCCAACCTTCCTCCGGCTCATCTTATTCCGCCACTGGTGAGTACTATCCCCTTCTGATAACCATCGCATGCGTGTGAACGCTGGACAGGATTGAAACCAGCGCACAGTGATGGACAGACGTCATTAGATGTGGCCATTTTTTTGGATCCCGCCTGTTAGTCCATATGTGAAGTATGTACCTGTGTGAAAATATAGGTGGTTCTCACGCTGCTGGTTAGTTTTTTAGTAGGTGGTTTCCTTGAGTGCATGTTTGGTTCCAATTCGTTCTCAACGGATTACAGTTTCATTAATGTCCGGTTAGATATCACTCGATGCTTTGATTAAAAGAGCATTCCCCAAAAATCGAACATAGGAAAACTCAGTATTTGATCTCGCCTGTGGGTGACCTCTCTTTGGATATTCTCATGCTAGATTGTAACCGATAAGAAACGGTGTTGTACAATTCCCAGGTGTAGACTTTCTGTTGATGGTCTCACGTATTTTCCACCTGTCGTAGCTAGACCGAAACGGCGAGGTTTGGCAAATATCCTTCAACAGTGGTGTGTAAACATGAAAATGTACGGAGGACAATTTAAGGTCGTTAGCACTCAGAGCATGCATCGTCGAAACGCGACGCAAGAAACAGCGAATATGCCTCAGCTGGGTTCTGTGTTTTCAGCAGAATAAACACCAGAGGTACACGGAGTCTACTAAACGCCTAGACCAAGTAAAAGCGGTCAGGATGTATTGAATTTTTAATTTATGTAACGATAACACTGTGGCTGTTCAGAGGCCTTCTGGACGCGCCGCTGGTAACCGGCACTCAGTCGATTGGGCGGTTCGGACCGGCCACTCTGTTAATCTTCTGGCCAATTAAGTGCGAAAATGGGTGCGAAAGTTTCACTCAAAGTGTGTTGTGTTCATGGAGCTTCCTTCGACTGTGCACCTCGAATTTTTCGAATCCCCGTCAATATGGCAGTTGCCATTCTGCCGAGAGAGTGGTCTAAAATGCGGAAGCTTTTTTAACGGTCCACTTACTAGTTGCTTCTTCTGAAAGTAGTCGCTCTAGAGGGCCGAAAACTTTACCGTGTCTTATTCATCTTTCCTAGCTTGTAAGAGTTTGTTCCACTTTGCTAATTTTCCCGAATTCGCTTTACCGGGTGTTCTGCCCCCCCACAGCCACTGGACGAAACGAAGGTTGTTCGGACGCAGGAAGGTGCTGATACGGTTACGCTGTTGCATCACACTTTGAATATATGCACAAATTCGGTAAGTACTTTCCACCGCCACGGTTTCTGTGAGACTCAACATGATCACTAGTTTTTCCTATATCTTATCTGTGTGTAGATACTCACCACTTTGGGATCGGTGTTCTGTTTTTGATCGGCTTGGGTTTCCTGTATCATTTCTTTCAAAGGGCGATCTCCACGTTTTTCATGTTACGTTATCCTGGAATTTTTATCATGTGGTTTCCTCGTGAGCGAGCAAACTTTGCACCCTGAAAATCAGGTGCTTTGAACGACGGTGGTTCGCCCGATCGTTTACAGCACACTGTATCAGCATTAGGTCCTATCAGCTTGCGTACCACCACACACTCGCTAGCGAAGAATTTGTCCCTTGATTAAAGGGGGCGAGATCCTCCGAATTGCAATCAGTATCGTCTGGCAGGATACATTCAAAACTCCGGTCTGTTGTTTCCTTTGTTTGTCCTGTGTCATTCATGGGAACGCAAGGTACAATAATAGTAGCGACCCTCATCTGTTGAGTGAAGTCACTACGGATTTGTGTGGTATTGGTTACGGGATCTCGGGTGCTATGACCGCTCTAGGAAGGATTTCCGGTTCTTGAAGACATTTTTCGGCTATGATCATGGTATGCTTTCTTATTTTTTTTACCTTGCAGTTACAGTATCACATGATTGTCGGAATCGTCAATGACCTCCTACTGTACGTGGAACCGCAACGAAAAGTGAGCTCCCTTTCATAATGGTTTATATTTATCAGGGAGATCAATGCACGCAAAAACGAAAACCTGTTTGCTTTGGTATTCCAATTAACGAGCCATAGTTAACTATGCTGCACATCAAAACAAATGCAGTTTAGAGAACAGGACAAGTTCAACCCTGTTCCACTCTTTTCTTTCGTTTCACTCGGAGTTGGATGGGGCAGAAAGCCCCGGGATTGTAACCGATAAGAAACGGTGTTGTACAATTCCCAGGTGTAGACTTTCTGTTGATGGTCTCACGTATTTTCCACCTGTCGTAGCTAGACCGAAACGGCGAGGTTTGGCAAATATCCTTCAACAGTGGTGTGTAAACATGAAAATGTACGGAGGACAATTTAAGGTCGTTAGCACTCAGAGCATGCATCGTCGAAACGCGACGCAAGAAACAGCGAATATGCCTCAGCTGGGTTCTGTGTTTTCAGCAGAATAAACACCAGAGGTACACGGAGTCTACTAAACGCCTAGACCAAGTAAAAGCGGTCAGGATGTATTGAATTTTTAATTTATGTAACGATAACACTGTGGCTGTTCAGAGGCCTTCTGGACGCGCCGCTGGTAACCGGCACTCAGTCGATTGGGCGGTTCGGACCGGCCACTCTGTTAATCTTCTGGCCAATTAAGTGCGAAAATGGGTGCGAAAGTTTCACTCAAAGTGTGTTGTGTTCATGGAGCTTCCTTCGACTGTGCACCTCGAATTTTTCGAATCCCCGTCAATATGGCAGTTGCCATTCTGCCGAGAGAGTGGTCTAAAATGCGGAAGCTTTTTTAACGGTCCACTTACTAGTTGCTTCTTCTGAAAGTAGTCGCTCTAGAGGGCCGAAAACTTTACCGTGTCTTATTCATCTTTCCTAGCTTGTAAGAGTTTGTTCCACTTTGCTAATTTTCCCGAATTCGCTTTACCGGGTGTTCTGCCCCCCCACAGCCACTGGACGAAACGAAGGTTGTTCGGACGCAGGAAGGTGCTGATACGGTTACGCTGTTGCATCACACTTTGAATATATGCACAAATTCGGTAAGTACTTTCCACCGCCACGGTTTCTGTGAGACTCAACATGATCACTAGTTTTTCCTATATCTTATCTGTGTGTAGATACTCACCACTTTGGGATCGGTGTTCTGTTTTTGATCGGCTTGGGTTTCCTGTATCATTTCTTTCAAAGGGCGATCTCCACGTTTTTCATGTTACGTTATCCTGGAATTTTTATCATGTGGTTTCCTCGTGAGCGAGCAAACTTTGCACCCTGAAAATCAGGTGCTTTGAACGACGGTGGTTCGCCCGATCGTTTACAGCACACTGTATCAGCATTAGGTCCTATCAGCTTGCGTACCACCACACACTCGCTAGCGAAGAATTTGTCCCTTGATTAAAGGGGGCGAGATCCTCCGAATTGCAATCAGTATCGTCTGGCAGGATACATTCAAAACTCCGGTCTGTTGTTTCCTTTGTTTGTCCTGTGTCATTCATGGGAACGCAAGGTACAATAATAGTAGCGACCCTCATCTGTTGAGTGAAGTCACTACGGATTTGTGTGGTATTGGTTACGGGATCTCGGGTGCTATGACCGCTCTAGGAAGGATTTCCGGTTCTTGAAGACATTTTTCGGCTATGATCATGGTATGCTTTCTTATTTTTTTTACCTTGCAGTTACAGTATCACATGATTGTCGGAATCGTCAATGACCTCCTACTGTACGTGGAACCGCAACGAAAAGTGAGCTCCCTTTCATAATGGTTTATATTTATCAGGGAGATCAATGCACGCAAAAACGAAAACCTGTTTGCTTTGGTATTCCAATTAACGAGCCATAGTTAACTATGCTGCACATCAAAACAAATGCAGTTTAGAGAACAGGACAAGTTCAACCCTGTTCCACTCTTTTCTTTCGTTTCACTCGGAGTTGGATGGGGCAGAAAGCCCCGGCAATGTTGTGGAATGTAGGTTGCTCGGGTGCGCTGCTTGGTTGTTGGTCTGTTCGCTGAGGTTGGCAGTTGGATTGCAAACGTTTCATCACCAATCGAGGTGACATGGTCAGTTCAGGGTTGAGCGGGTTGAGACCCACTGCACTGACGATTGGTGATGAAACGTTTGCAATCCAACTGCCAAGCTCGGCGAACAGACCAACAACCAAGCCCTGGATGTGTTTTGTAAACGGTTCACTCCCTCCCCCGTTTGTTCGAACACTTTGCTATCAGAATCGTATGCAGAAACTCATAACAAGCCATAATGCCTGTGAGGCGATTGCCACTGCCGGTATACCAGTTTACCGCCGTACAATGACCATGGAAGTTTCAGTTTGGTAGGTTTTGTAACCTGTCACAAACATCCCGAGGCATCTGCCTCTGTCCAAGCGCGGCGAGGAATCCCAATATAAGAATAACAAGCATGTCATCATGTAATGCCACACCTCCAACCTGCTGCTAGTACAATGTAAGGGTGAGAGCATAGAGACGTGGGTCCTAATGTCACGCTATCAACAGCTTGTTAACAGACGTTTATCCTTACCCATCTAAAGTTGGGAGCGCTTGTACCCTTTGAAAGAATGTTTTAAAATGGTATGATACATCCTGATCTTGTTGGACTGATTATTTTAATCACTTGCAAACTCCAATGCTTGCTGTCCCGGTACCATATCCGATACATCCTGGCACTCTCGAGTTATCAGTGGGGCGAACGGGTAGCGAGTTTTTGGTTGAGGATCTGCGTGTTTCATCTACAGAGTGCATCCATAATCAGGGCTTTCATTCTACTGAAATCCATCCTACTGTTTCTTTTTGTAATGAGATCGCTTGGTTGTTGGGCTTCTCGTACAGTGCGAATAGTCACACAATCCCCCTCCCCCGGTGGCGAGATAGTCCAAGTGGTTAGAGCGCGAATTTACTGACCGAAAGGTCCGTGGTTCGAACCCGACCTCTGTCTCTCGACTTCCCCTGTCTAGGCTTGGGCAACCTGGCAGTATCCCAGCCCTCATGCTTCCTTCGGGTGGCATGGCAGCTAGGCACCGAAAGGGTGCCACAATTGAAAGTTTTTTTTTACCCCCCCCCCC